GAATGCTGGTGCAAGTGGAAAGTAATTTTGTACTAGACATGACTGGTGCAAGATTGTGACTAGGATCAACTAGATATTATTGATATGCATTTGACTTTTCAAAGATGTATAACCAACCAGTCCTTGTCTTGTTTTACTGTTTTGTGTGGACATCAACTTTTCATGATTTTTGTTGAATACATTCAATCAGTTGTTTGTGTTTGAGTCAAATCAGATTAGTAGATAATTTTTTAGTTTTAATATTGGCTCCAATTTCTTAAAGCAGATAAGCTGCCTCTTTGGTGTAATGACCCATTCATCAAATTGAAATGGGTGATAGTGTCCAAATATAATTTGAGCCCTGCGCCCTGTCCTCGGGTCTGAAATCTTGGTCTACAAATATTAAAAGGAAGATAAAAGACTGGCATGACATCTTTAATGGTAATGACCTGAGTACGGAAAAGAAAACATGGCCAGTGTACTGAACTGATAAAATTTAAACCCAGCATAATGTCATTCAATAATGTCAAAAGTCTGGACATCCTGTTGACCACTCAGTTCACTCCAATGCCAGTTGCTTAAAGAATTTCTCATTTTTTAAAATGCAAGAACAAATTTGAAATTCTGAAACATTTTTATAGATTCATCAAATTTTGTTTCATCTTTTAAAATAAAAAAAAATATATATTTTTCTGAGAGTTTGAGTGCATTGTGGCTTAAATTTATGGTAGCTATTGTCTTACTATTATATATTTATGAATATGAATTAAAATGCCTTTGTAAATTGTATTAACAAATTTCTTTTTTTTTAAATCCATTTATAAATGTTTATTCATTTTCCAGTTTTCATTTTGTTTTTTTTAAAATGTGTTTAATCTATAATTATCAACCATTATGATTATCCTTTTTTCTTCAGAAAAGGAAACAGGGTCATTAATCCATTTGTGTGTACAGTTTATAATAGAAACATTCATTTGCTTAGTTTACTGTCAGAAGAATGAATACTTTTGCCTTGACTGTTGTACAGAGTGAATTATATTTGAACTTTTCAGAGAAATGGCTCTTCCTCCATCCCCCCAACATGTCTTTATGACTTCAATAATGGAAACCTCTGAGCAATGAGCCACTTAGGAGACCCCATAGCATGATAAGAAAAAAAGAAAAAAATTTAGCAGCATTGACAATTTCTAAGAATTGTGTTCCAAGACTTCTAAAATGAACTGACCATTTGATGTTATCTAGAGATGTTAATTTGATTGGCTTGATGATCTGCCACATCTAACAATTGACTGTCTCATTTAGACTTTTAATTTGGGATAACTTTGAACAATATTTATATGAACTAAAAAATTTTTTATATGACATTAGGATATTTTGAAAAGTCAATTTAATGTCAGTCTACAATACAGACAGTGACCACTCTCTACTGTAAGACAAACCTTTTTCTTATTTTTTTTTACTTTATCCTTTAAAACATTTTTTGACAATTGCTACATCCCCCTGGATGTGGCTTCTGATGTGGTAAAAAAAAAAGTTAAGTTTCCTCTTTCAGACCTTGCAATGTTAAGGTCATCTGTTTCTTTGGCCGATGGTTAACGAGCAGGGTGTTATGTGGCCAGGACAACGACCAACTGACTTTACTTTCCTTAACTAAAGTCAGGTACCCAATAGAGCTGGATGGACTCAGGGATGTCTAAAAATTCTGAAATTCAAAATCACAGTTTACACCGACATTCGAGCCCAGAACCTCAGGTTTGGAAGCCAAGGGCTTAACCATTTGACCACAGCGCCGAATTTACAGATATTGTCTTAGGCACTATAAATATAAATACATATATATATATACAGTGGAGTCTTGATAATCCAAAATGATTGAGACGAAACCCAGTTCAGATTAATGATTATTTCAGATTAAGCAAAATTATTACTAAATTAAACCTAGCAAGCATCGGTATGAAATACAACTTGTAATTACATGTAAGGATGCAAATGATGTGGATGAGTGGTTACAAGCTAATGATATTGGTCATGAAATTTTAAATCATCAGCAGATTGTTGAAATGGTTTTAAAGAACCAGACAACTCATATGAGAGTGAAGGTGAAGCAGATGATGACAGCGAGCAGAGTGTATCCAACATGGACGCTACGATTGCCTTTGATGTAGCACTTGACTACATAAAATAACTTTACCCCAGCATGTTTTGTTTTTGAGGTGTTTACATAATTTCGCTTCAAAAGAGAGGTCGTAATCTCGACAGAAAAACGTACCATTTTAAACCAATATAGTTTAGAACCAATTTTAGTGTCGTACATAATACAGTTTTTCACCGTTCTTTGTTTTTTATTCCTAAAAATAACATTTCTGTTTCACATTAAGTGGACGTTAAAATTACCAAACTTTGAATTATCTGGACTCCACTGTGTGTGTATGTATATAATCCAGGATAATACACAAGTTTGTATTTGAATGTGAACCTTTCCTTTGAAAAAGAACCTAATTCTGACTTGTACACATTTTCCAGTTCATATTCCAATGTAATAGTTTTACTTATTTGACTTATTCAGAACACACTGCCCACTTACTGTGTTATACCAGCTTTCTACATTATTTCCATGTTAATTTTTTTTTTATAGGTACCAGCTTTCTTCTTCATCTACATTGTTCCCCTTGTATCAGCCTGTTACACTATCCCAGTGCTGACTGTGTCTTCCCATTACAATGTTCACTAGCACCAAACTTCTTCACTATCCCAATGCTGAATGTGTCTATAGCAAGTTTTTTTTTTCTCATTTACATTATTCCAATTTTTCATGTGCCTACAGAAGTCTTTGTGGCTGTATCCTGATGTTCCATATGTCTGTAGAAGTCTATAGAAGACTGTATCCTGGTGTTCCATCTGTCTGTGGAAGTCTATAAAAGACTATCCTGGTGTTCCATCTGTCTGTAGAAGTCTATAAAAGACTATATCCTGGTGTTCCATCTGTCTGTAGAAGTCTATAGGAGACTGTATCCTGGTGTTCCATCTGTCTGCAGGAGTCTATAGAAGACTGTATCCTGGTGTTCCATCTGTCTGTAGAAGTCTATAAAAGACTGTATGCATTTATTGATTTTCTTTTCTGCCTTTATTTTGCATCATTTTGATACAAAGCAATCTTGAAGTAAACATATCATTTCCCTTTTTTATTTATCTGCTAAATGTTTTAATACACTTATTTTAATAATAATGGTTGATAAAATTGTTATTGTTTTTTTTTATAGTTTTCTTTTAAGTTCCTAAGTTGTATAAAATATTTGTTTGTTTTTTTTTTCATAATTTAACTGGGCTTGTTTCTTCTTGTTCCTTTAGATAACTACTTTATGTATGTCAACAAAAATAAGCTGTACATTTGACTGTTGATTTTACAAAGTTTGTCAAGTAAAAGGGCAACTCCTCAAAATTGTCTTTTCTTTTTTCTAAAAAAAATTTTTTTTTCTCTTTTGGAATAAATCATTTGTAATATTTATAAAAATAAACTCTACTAAAATCTAACTTATAGTTTTGTTTCAACATAAACTTTCCTACTTGAAAGGTATAGACTATCTACAATAATTATAATCCTGATATAGAGATGGTTGTAACAAATCAGTTTAAAAAATATATTGTGAGGCTTTAGTTGTATCTTTGACTTTGTCCTTCCATAGTCGTGTGATTGTTTAGAATGTGAAGGAAATGGTTAAACAGCCTGAAGCTCTTTCTATGTATATACACATATCTATCTACAGTCTCTAGGCTTAATGTTTTTTTATTTGATTGAACTTCTGGGACTTGTTTCACTAGTTCCATTCATCAACACAACTTGACCATCACTATATCATAGCTTTTAACAAGAATCACAAGATGCTTTACACAATAGCCTGCTGAGATAGGCCAAGAATGTTTTGATAACCAGGTCAGCAAATTAGGCAACAAATATTTCCAATCTGATGGTAAAGTAATTTGGGTTTAAGAGGAAACAAATATCTATGTGCAATCATAATTGTTTGTAAACCAGCAGTTACGCTTTTTTTTTCTTTCTTTAACTGATTAGAGATAAATTTCTTTTTATTGACCTAGAATTATATAGTTCAACGATAGTATGTAAGTTTCAATAGAGTTTTGATTTGTATCATTACTTTTAGGTCATAACACACTATGTAAAGGTTATACATGTTTTATATACTTCTCATTTTAGTGCTGCTTATAGATTTGGCTAGATTTTGTTCTAGGTATTTGTGATCTAGATATCTAGATATTAAAATTGAGATTTGAACTGAAATGATAACTCCATCAACATCTGTTTCAATACATTTAATTTGTTTAAAGACAGATGCTTAGGTTAGTATGATTAGCTAGAATGTCTCCCTTATTATTTTTTTTTACATAGATATACTCATTTTTGTTTTGCAAAAATTTGGAATTGATATTTGTAAATGAATGAAGTTTTTTGCTATTAACACTGTATAATTAATGATTGTAGACAAGGACAGAACAAAGTGTGAACTAAGTCCATGAGTGGTTTGATTTCAGCTTATGTGACTAACAGCATTGCATGTTGTTCTTGGCTACATTACCAACAGAGTTTGCATTTTTTAGAAAGGAGCATTTTTTTGTTTGTTCAGTGTTAGATGCTATTAAGTATTGGTTTATAAAAGTGAGTGACTAGGTTTTGTTCTTTGAAAATACATAGGTTATAATAGTCTATAGGAATTAATACAAATCATTGTTTTCAAATTAACGTTTTTTTTTCAGGGGATGATCCCAGTTCTTTTTCTACGTATAAGATCATTTGAACGTAGACATTGATGTTGTAGTCCCTGTTGGTTGGTTTGTAGTAATTGTTAAGTTGTGACTAGTCAGTCTGCTACTGTACTTGATGGTCCAACTGAACCTGAGATGTGAACGCTCAAGCAGAGTTGTTTTTTGGTACTGTGATTGAACAGATAATGGATTTATTGTATCTTATGAATCTTGGCTGATATGCAAGATTTTGTTCTTTTGCCAAAAGTAACAAAAAAAAAAAAAAAAAAAAAAAAGTTTCATAGTTGAATATTACTCAGACTCATCAAATGCTATGTGAACAATTTCTGTGAAACTTTGTCTTTGAGCTATGTTGTTCTTATTTAATTATAATACCAAGCAGACCTGCATATCTACATGAGTTTTTATCTTATTTGTGACCTTTGCCTTTTTATGGAACTCTCAGCAATAAAAACAACAAAATTGTTTGGTTGTTAAGTGTTCTTTGCTTCTTACAGCTCTTGGAGATCTTTATTTGCAGCCATGGCTAATCATTTGAAGACTGGATTTATGAAAGTGTTGTAAGATTTGAGTTGAGTACACAAAAATAACATTAATATTTATGTACAAATGAAGTTTCAATGCATCTTAAGTTGCTTTTTTTTTTACAGTTGCTTTTTTTCTTCTTAAAAAATGTGTAACTTGCTTTCAGTAAATATTTTTGTGTGCTCCAAATGTAAAATAGCTACAAATATTTTATATAGCTACAAATATTTTATCTTTTACTCATATATAATTTCAATTATGAATCTCAAGTAAAAAGTTAAAATATTATCAGTGTAGAAATATTTATCTTAGCAAAGTAATGCAGCATCCTGTCATTTTTATAAATATTTTTGACATATGGACATTTTAAATGATTGTTTCATAAGAGTAGAAAAATTAAAAGCAATTAATGTTTCACTTCTCTGCAGCCTAGACATGTTCATTTCTACACTTTAAAAAAAACACAAAACTCTACATTCCAGACTTTGTGATGAGATAGTGAATTTGTTTTTACAATGACATTATTTTTAAAATTTATGAATGATACAAACGACTGAATTGTAAAATGTTTGAAAAGATTTGTTTTTTTAACTGACAATTCATTGAAATAAATACATTTTGTGTTTATAATGCAATGTGTGCTGTGATGTGTTTACAATACATAAGTTAAAAATAAGTCAAGACATTAGTGACTAATTTTTAATTAACACATGCTACAAACAAAAGAAGAAAATGTTTACAGTGATTAACATAAAGTTCTAAATAAACCTAGAAAAGCCAAAGAAGTCCTACCTAGGGTTACTAATATCATGACATAGTATTCCTACAACCAGAACAGCTGTAGCATAAAAAGAAATTACAAGGTGACCAGACAACAACTACATCAATCCAAAGAGTGATTAGATTGTTTGAGCTATTGTGCAAACTCTGTTTAAAATAAAATAGGTACAATGTTACTGAATAATTTCATAGGCAGAACAAAAAAAGCAATGCATGAAATGAAAATAAATAAAGGTTTGTTACTCTAATAAAAACTTTAATTTCAGAGCATATGTGAGATTCAATTAAAGAGATTTAAAATGCTAAAAAGTAAATATTGTTCATTTGATTTTTTTTTTTAAGACCGATGGAATGAACCAAGTCAAAGCAACAAAAAAATAGAAAAAGACAGTAATATTAAGAGATGTACATTTTTACACTAGAATATTTGGCTATTGTATAAAATAATATCCTTTTATATCCAAGAGATTCAAAACACCCTTAAAGGAAACTTTTGTTTTAGTTTTGATTGTTACTCTTTTCCAAGAAAAAGAAACTTGTGCAGATTTTTCCAGCGCTATAGATCTAGATCTATTGCTAAAGCAAAATATCTCACAAAGTTACAGATTCTAAATAACCGTCTCTCTCAAACACTAGCGTTGATTATACGCAATGTCCTCATTTTATCCATCGCATTCAATTAAAAAGGAAATCATAAATACACTTGCAAGGTGAAATTGTTCAGTCGTCTTATTTAAAATGCTAGAAATGTAGTTTTAATATCTAAACAGCCTAAAATTCTAGATCTATACTAACCGTATATAAATATAAAAAGAGTCTGAAATTTAAATCTGTCAACACATTGAAATAACAAAACTTTCATTTCAGAGCATATATATATGGAATTAAATGTTCAAAACCAACTCTTCAACCTCAATTCCTTTGCATAGCTCACATGGTCATCTGCTGCTTTCTTAATAACTTGTAAATCCTGTTTGAGAGTCTATATCTTAATAGAGTTTGCTACACACACAATTTTATATGCTTTCAGAGCATCAAGGTAATTTATTTAAAGGCAATTTAATATCCTTGTGGACAAAAAGTACTGTCAAGATTGTTTCATTTATTTGAGCAAAGTCTCTTTGTATTTCAGTTTAAGACTACATCCTCGTTAGTGACACATACAACATGGATTGATCTCCAGGAATAAATGACGTTGTGCCTGTTCATTCATAGACACTGTCAGCATGAGATTTAACAACGGTTGTTGAATATCTGTGCTAGCAAAGACACAGATTTAAAATTTCACTGCATTTCTTTGGCAAAGGATTCCAGCAACATTTGCTTTCTTAACTTTTTTCTGCTCCTCCTTTGAGCTTCTTTTTCAATTCTGATGCCTATTAACTTCAAATAATTTTTTGTAACTTTGTTACACTGCAAAAGATAATAGTTGTGTGATTGTGAAGATTACAAGATCATGCACAAACTTAACCCAGTGGCGTAGCTAGGGATTTGGGGGTCCAAGGGGATTGATCTCTTTAGGGACCACTGAATTTGGACATTCAACATCATGATAATATTTAATATAAAAACACATTTTGGACACTCATTTGGAGGCCCGGGGGGATTTTCAGATATGGATCCCTCCTCCCCCCACCCTAGTTACGCCACTGACTCAAACATACCAATAACAATTCGTATGTAACTGGAAATTCTATTGTCACGGTCAAGAAGATCTGAAATGGTCTTTGTGGATGATGGCAGATGTCAGGGGATATTTAATAATCTTTTGCCTTTTTCAGGAGTGCTGAGATCTTGTAACCGTGATACCGAGGATTCTTTACTTGAAGTTGTCAGCTGATAAGATGATCTAAATATTTACTAGTAGATTCAATGAAGAAGATTCTTTTGATTTAAATACAAGAACTTTAATTCCTAACTTGAAAACACTAAATGTATAATACAGTAATTACAAGAGTGTAATGTATCAAATATAAAACATACTACTAGATTCTAACTCAAGATAGTATGTCTACATCCTATGAATATCTCTAAATCGACTGAGGAATTAATATATCATATTCTGCTTCTTTGTTCTCCACATAGCGTCTCTCCGCCTACTTCCAGTGCCACCCTCAATCAAATTCAAATTTACTATCAATTGACAGACACGCTGCTGCCTTGATTGATGCGTGTCGCAATGTCACAGAAAAAACCAGCGACCTAGATATGAAATTCAACCTCGACCTAAGTTATTATTAATTTACATAAAATGTTTGACATCGATACGTGACATCTATCTATAAGACTGAAAGCACTGTGATTGGCCCCTTTTTAGATTCATCCGAATATAAGGTTCACACCAATGTTAACCGTATATCTTTATAAGAAAGATAAGCCTTATGTTGCTTTTAAATCGCTTAAATGTGTAGGGCCATATTAGGGATGAAGCCTATAAAAAGCACTTTATACAGATGTAGGCTATTACATTATTTCGGAAAATGTGTTACATTAGTAGCCCTAATACACTGTATAGTCTGTAAATTATGATGCTCTGAGTGCTCCTACCTAGGATTACTAATATCATGACATAGTATTCCTACAACCAGAACAGCTGTAGCATAAAAAGAAATTACAAGGTGACCAGACAGCAAATAATTGCATTATGTCAATCCAAAGAATGATTAGATTGTTTGAGCTATTGTGCAAACTCTGTTTAAAATAAAATAGGTACAATGTTACTGAATAATTTCATATGCAGAACAAAAAAAAGCAATGCATGAAATGAAAATAAATAAAGGTTCGTTACTCTAATAAAAAATTTCATTTCAGAGCATAAGTGAGATTCAATTAAAGAGATTTAAAATGCTAAGAAGTAAATATAAATGTTCATTTTTTTTTTTTTTAAGACCGATGGAATGACCCAAGTCAAAGCAACAAAAAAATAGAAAAAGACAGTAATATTAAGAGATGTACATTCTTACACTAGAATATTTGGCTATTGTAAAAAATAATATCCTTTTATTTCCAAGAGATTCAAAACACCCTTAAAGGAAACTTTTGTTTTAGTTTTGTTTGTTACTCTTTTCCAAGAAAAAGAAACTTGTGCAGATTTTTCCTGCAGATCTATTCCTAAAGCAAAATATCTCACTAAGTTACAGATTCTAAATAACCGTCTCTCTCAAACACAAGCGTTGATTATACGCAATGTCCTCATTTTACGCGATTCATAAATACACTTGTAAGGTGAAATTGTTCAGTCGTCTTATTTAAAATGCTAGAAATATAGTTTTAATATCTAAACAGCCTAAAATTCTAGATATATACTAACCGTATATAAATATAAAAAGAGTCTGAAATTTAAATCTGGCAACACATTGAAATAACAAAACATAGATCTATATTCCTAGAATCAAGATCTAGAGTCTTAGATATCTAGTTCTATCTCGAGTCTATCTATCTGGCTGTATTGCGTTTATCCTAATCCAGGGTACCTGCAACAAAGAGTCATACATCTAGGTTATTGTATATAGATCTAGCTAGATCTATATTATTTTTTCTATTCATAATATAAAAATTAAATACTGACATGGGACTTCACTTACCCTGAAGCTCTGAAGTCTAGAATCAAAGATTTAAGAATCTCTCTCTATCTAGTCTAGTCTAGTTTCGTTTGTTTTTAGTTACACTAGACTAGTTATCACTAGTTTAGTAGTTACAGTCTGAGTCTAGTAATTCAAAATGTAATTTTAAATTTAATTTACATGCTAGGGCTCTGGAATGCTAGACCTAGATATACTCGACACCGTCCGACATTAAAATTAAAATAATAAAACATTAAGATCGCAAAATAATGAAAATAACCTATGAATTTGCAAAGCTTTTTTTTTTGTTAAGAGTTAGAGTCTAGACTAGTTGACTAGTACTTAGTTCTAGTTGACTAACATAAGGTAGAAAAAGATATAGATTATAATTTATTAATTATAATATATATTATAGATATAGACCTCTCTAGATTCTCTGTAACTTACTTATAATTATATATAGATTATAGATCTATAAATATATTATATAGATCTACTGTCACCTGTGTCCAAATTCATTACTCATAAAATGTATTTATCAACAGCCATCACCATAAAAAGTGCCTTGTGTCATGATACTTCTCAACCTATTCTTTAACATCTTTAATATGCAGTGACTTTGTTTACAAGATCTTTGTTTCATACAAGACAACATAAGTACAAGATACATCCCCAACAATAAATTTGACATCTTTAAAACTGTATCT